GTGGTGGCGGGGGAAGCAGGGGAGGGTCGGGCAGCAGCTCGTCGTCCGAGGTGGCGATGGTCTTGATGGCGTTGTGGTAGAGCGGCGTGGAGCTGGGCATGGCGTACTTGGACATCTGGGACATCATCAGCGACAGCGGGTTCTGGGACGGCGAGGGATCTGGGGAGGAAGTGAACGGCAGGCTGGGGTTCATGAGGCCGCCGGTGGGGTTGGCGGGAGGCGCGGAGGAGCTGCTCCGGGGACCGCCGGGCGGGAGGGCACCTACAGAAGCGGGAGACAGAGAGCAGGGTGACGGGAGGGGAGATGAACCTGGCTGTTCATACTGGGGGTGCAGGAGAGGTCAGCCCCCCCATCTCCACCAGATCCTCCAGGCACACCTCCATCCAGGTGTCCACTACACACAGGCCCTCCCACTGTTGTCACTGCAGCCCACCCTTCTCCAAGCAGCTTCTACAGCCTTGGGGGCCCAGGCAGTGGGAGATCCCAAGTGTGACCCCTCAAGATGCCTAGAGATTAGCATGTGCTCCTGGGAAAGCCCAGCAGAGCCGCCCACCTCTGTCCAGGGGCCTCCTCCATCACCTGCCCCGCACGAGCCCACCTGGAGACGCCCCGCGCCCGAGCCCAGTGCCCACACGCCCGCATGCTGACTCACCCTGCTCCATGCTGCCCAGGGTGGAGGATGAGTTCATGCTGAGAGGCGGCTGCTTGTTCGGGGGGACCCCAGGGCTGGGCATGGCTGTCTTGGGTGAGGCGACCCAGCCCGGAGAAGGCACCGCCATGGAGGGAGACTTGAGCCTGCTGGGAGAGCCCGTGGGCGAGCGGGCACTGAGCGAGGAGCCCAGGACCTGGGGCGACTTGAGCGGTCCCGGCGGGTTGGCAGAAGGCAAGGGCACCATCTGTGAGGGAGTCTGGGGTGACTTCAGGTTGGCAGTGGGCGAGGTGACCAGCGGGGACTGCACCTGGCTAAGTGTGGGCGACTTCAGGTGCCCCATGCCCGGCGAGCCCATCTGATTAATACTGATGGTGAGGTCTGAGGGGCGTCGGCCCAGCCCCCGGCTTGGGGCTGCGTGCACAGACCCCGGAGGAGGGTTGGATGCAGGGGGCAGAGGCATGTGGCTGAGCCGAGTGGTCCCCACATTGCTCATGGGCATGGAGTTCTGGTCGGGGCTGAACATGTCCTGGGTGTTGCCCATGTCCTGTGGCAGGGCCTGGTAGGGCCCCTGGCCTCCGGAGAAGCCCTGCTGGCCCTGGCTGGGGAACTGCGAGGGCATCAGCATCTTCTGCGGGCCGCCCACTAGGCCGCTGCTGCTCTGAGCCCGCACCCGGGCCATGTCCTCAGGGCTGAGGCCCTGCGGACCCAGCATGTCCCCAGGGCCCCGCATCTTCTGCGCCATCAGCATCTGCTGCTGCGGGGTCATCTGCACATTCAGGTTCATGTTCATGTTCATGTTGACGTTCATGTTCATGTTGAGGTTGCCTGGCCCCAAGGGGGGGTCCACCTCCCTCAGCCCGGACTGCCCCATGGGGGGGCTTAGAAGGCCCCGGCCTCCGCCAAAGTCCATGCCCATGGGAGTGCCCGCCAGGCTCTCACCGCCCGCCATCTGCCCGGGGAACATGGCTGGGTCCATCTGCCGGTGCGCCTGCATCATCCGCTCCATCTCCACGCCCTGCCCCATGCCGCCGCCGCCGGCCATGCCC